TTGTAACGGATACTACAGCCTAGGACAGACAATTGTCGGTGCAGGTCCACTTCTTCGTATAGCCCCATATAGCCTCATGATTTTTTGTTTCAAATTTGGTATTTGAGGTTCGTAATGAATACTACAGTCTATGACAGAAAATTGTCTGTGCAGGTCTACGTCTTCGTAAAGCCCCCACATAACTGTACCTACCGATATTCGGTATTTGATGATTTCAGCGACATTATTCACCGGAATTGTTTCAAATTTGGTATTTGATGTTCGTCACGGATACTACAGCCTATGACAGAAAATTATTTGTGCAGGTGCACGTTTTGGTATGCCCCCCATATAATTGTATCTCCCTATATCCGTTATTTTCATGATTTTATGTACATAATTAACCGATTTTTTTCAAGTTTCGCATTTGAATATTGTAATGGCTTATGTCAAAAATTGCCTATGCAGGTCCACGTCGTCGTATTTTTAACGGTTTTTATTTTTTGAAAATTGACAAATTCGTTCCAAATTGTGGAGGGTATTCAAGGTTCGGCCTGGCCGAACTTACAGTTTTTTGGCTTGTTTTATCTCACTGTATATATCATCTTCACAACAGATCGTTTGTTAGCAAAAATGTTTGTGAAATTTGAAGAGATTTGGATGCTTATTCGCTTTCTATGAGCGTTTCGTTTTTCAAAATCTTGAACTCTATGTTTGTGAGGTACCAGAAGAAATGGTCCGATCCCTCCCATCTTTTTAACAGATCTTCTATGTTGATAGAAATATTGAGATGTGCCAAGTCTGAATGGAATTGGGTATTCAAAAATGTTGATCTTCTGTGGGGGAGGTGTGGGAGAGATATTTACAGCATATCTTGTGATTGTAGAAATAATGAGAGGTGTGAAATGTGAAGGAAACTGGATGGTTATTTTGGATTTTATGATCGTTTTGGTTATTCAAAACTTCGACCGCTTGTGGGAGAGGTGTCAGAAGCAGTGGATCGATGTATTCCATCTTCACACAAGACCTTGGTTAATAAATATATTCTAATGTGTGTAATTTGAAAACAATCGGATTCTTATATCAGATGTTATAAGAGTTAAAATTATTTAAAGTTTTGACCCTTTCTGGCGTAGGTACTTGATGAAGTGAACCGACATTTCCCATTTTCGCACCTGACCTAGTACTGATACAAATATTAGAATTTGCAAAGTTGGAGCAAAATCGAATTATCCTTTCTCTATCTGTGCAGAAAAAATATTTTTTTTTGGGAAATTTCGACCTTTTGTAGGAGGGGACCGATATTACACATCTGCGAACTCAAGGTTGACAATAGTATTGCGATATACCATCGACTCCAAATGTCCTGAAACGTTGTTTTGATGAGGCACGTTTTGGTGTATCAAATTTTGGGTAGAAAAAAAAATTAAAAAAATCGCATGCGATAAAAAAATATAGAAAAAATATATAACAAAATATATTCACTTTTTTATGCCCTCCACCATACATAGTATGGAGGGTATATTAACTTCGTCATTCCGTTTGTAACTCATCGAAATAATCATTTTAGACCGAATAAAGTATATATATTCTTGATCAGCGTAAAATGCTAAGACGATTTATCCTTGTCCGTCCGTCTGTTGTAATCACGCTACAGTCTAAACGAATTAAGATATGAAGCTAAAATTTTGTACCCTAGTGGGTACCCTCTTTCGTCTGCAGGCAGGTCAAGTTCGGTTCACGATATTGTATAGCCCCCCATATAACGGTATCCCCCGATATTCGGTATTTTGATGATGTTAGCCACATTTTTCAATGGAATTTTCTGAAATCCCACACAAGGAATTATCTATATAGGTCCACGATATCGTATAGCTCCCATATAACGGTACCCTCCGATATTCGGTATTTTGATGATCTTAGCCACATTTTTCAACGGAATTATCTGATAATCCACGCAAGGAGTTCCTTGTGGGTACTTTATCCCTTGGAAGATAATTTTCTATATAGGTCCACGATATCGTATAGCCCCCATATAACGATACCCCCTGATATTCGGTATTTTGATTATTTTAGCCTCATTTTTCAACGGAATTGTTTGATAATCCACACGAGAAGTTCCTTGTGGGTACTTTATCCCTTGAAAGAGAATTCTCTATGTATGTTAACGATATCGTATATCCCCCATTTAACGGTGCCCCCCAATATTCGGTATTTTGATGATTTTACCCACATATTTCAACGGAATTGTCTGAAATTCTACACAAGAGAATTATCCTGAAAGAGAATTATCTATATAGGTCCACGATATCGTATAGCTCCCATATAACGGTACCCTCGATATTCGGTATTTTGATGATTTTAGCCACATTTTTCAACGGAACTGTCTGATAATCCACACAAGGAGTTCCTTGTGGATACTTTAACCCCTGAAAGGTAATTGTCGATATAGGTCCACAATATCGTATATCCCCCCATATATCGGCACCTTCCGATATTAGATATATTAAAGATTTTAAAGTAATTTTTAATGGATTTTATTTATTTTTTTTAAATTTTCTAATTCGTTCCAAATGGTGGAGGGTATTCAAAGTTCGACCCGGACGAACTTACTGCTTTTTAATTGTTATTGGTAAAATTTTTATGCTATTTTCTTTTTATGCTTTTATCTTTTTCTTGGCAAGAGACCATTCCGAATTGATGAGAATTGTCAAAATCAGTCTATTGGTTCTTGACTTATAAGCGGAATAACTAAAATCTCTTCTTTTACTACAGATTGTACCTATTTTACATATATCCGATATATTGGCTATCAGCATCACCCTTACGGTGAGAAGTTACCTTTTAATGTATTTGGATTTTGCTGGGATTAAAACTATTAGCGGTTTAGTATTTATACCCTACAACACTATGTGTTGGGGGTATTATAAGTTTGATTGGGCCAAAAATTATGTAACACCTCGAAATAGAACCCTATTTCTTTTGGAGAGTATCGCATAATATTTAGGGGTTGAAATCGACCAAAAACTGAAAAATTTCCTGATTTTGCTGGGCAGAAGCCTTCCAATTTCGATGGTCATCGGGTAATAATTCGTGGGTGAAATAGGGCACAACATTTGTGTTAAATAAAAGTCAAATTTTCCATTAAACCGCGAATATTTTTAATCCCTGTGAAATCACAAATATACGAACAGGTCAATTCTGTCCGTTACGTAAATGTCGATAGTAAATATATCGGTTATATATAGCGAAATATATGCAATGTGTATATACAAAGGAAGGGGATGTTAGTTAAAATGCTTATATCTCAAGATTGGCTAGACCGATTTTGACAAATTTTGTCAATTAAGAATGCCCTCTTGACACAAGTATAAAATATAAAAAAATCGTAAGAAAATATGCCAATTATGATGTTAATTTAGATTTTGTAGTATTTTGTGAAATTTTTTTATATTTTCATATATTTTATCGCATGCGATTTTTTCAATTTGACTTATAATATTGAAGTTATATTTTGTAATATTTATGCACTTTACAACACAGGTTGGGGTTATTATTTATATACAGATTGCAATTATCATTCGATCCTCACGAAATTTTTCAAAAGAGTAGGGCTAAGAAGAGCTAGGCGTATTCTTTTCAAAGATGTCCGTAATATATTAAGAGGTTTGAAATGGACCAACAACTAAAAATTTTCCAGATTTTGCAGCCGTTATAAAGGTCACAAATAGAAACCAAAGGACACGAAATCTCGCATAGAGTTAGAGTTTAGCACAGAGGGAACAATGGATCACGAAAAAATACCTGCATTACTTACAGGCGATATCCGAAATACACCAAAGGCGAACTTCTGGCTTTTTTATGCTAATTTCGTTGACGAATATAACCAAATATCGTAGACAAGCAATTCATATAGATGAATCTAAATTTGGAGATACAGAGGGGCCTCTTGCTTTAGGAGATGATCGCAAACAACAGAAACAATTTCCTGATCACACAATTGAAGCTAATCGACACGCCTGAGGAAAGAGTGAAAAGGGAAGAATTCCAGCATTTTGGATGACTATTGGATTATATATCGACTACAACAACTAACAGCACGCCGGAGTGCATAAATATTGGGCAAATGACTAGGGACATTCAAATCCTAATTTCAAAAATGTCCTAATTTCAAAAGCAATATCTTCCAATTTGGATTTGTACATAAGGGGCTTCTTACATATTATAGTGTTGTAGGGTATAACATAGTCGGCATCGCACGACTATAGACTTTGCTTACTTGTTTTAATATAAAAGTAATTTAGGCCATAACTTTACTCACCAAATATTGTTCGATGATGGTAGGCCTCTGGCCAGCTATAAACTTTAGTCTCATGACAAATTCCGCGTAAATTGGTACATTTTTTGCGATCTTTAGAGAAACGGAAAATCGGGACATTTTTCTGCTTTTGGTCTATTGCAAACCTTAAATATTTGGGGATCATCTCCAAAAACAATAGGCAATAATCTGACCTTAACCCCACTTTGATGCTTAATTTCTTGATGATGGGGCCATCATTGTGACATTTGATTACAAATTAAAATGGACAGACGGACGTATATAGCTAAATCGTCTCAGCTTCCAAAACGCCGATACACGTGTCTTCTATTTTTATCTCTACTTTTATTATCTACTACCTCTTCCTGTAATTTTGGAAATATTAGTTTTGTTGTACGGTGTAATCATAACTCTAATAAATTGTGCTGGAACTACTAAAGTGACTATAATTCAATATTTCCCACCCCATCTCCCTGCTCTGTTTCTTATTTGAGAATATATTTTAAAAAATACTATATTTATAGTGCAAGCATATAATATTTTATTGCGACGACATAATTTATTACATCCTATCATTTTTGCGTCTTCCCCATCAGTGGTGGTGGTTTTGGTTTTGTCTTCATTTATTTTCCTTCACTTACACATTATTTTTCTATCGCGAAGGCGAATGCAGGAAATCGCTGCCTTCGCACTTGCCACTTACCTTGGAGGACATGGACGCGTATACTGGCAATTTCTGTGTTTGATGGATAACATGAATATTTTCCAGAGTCAGAGAGATTGGCATCATCAATAAGTAGAATTGATTTGGTTTCTTCGGATTTGACGGTCTTAAACTTGAGGCGTCCACCTGAGGTCTCTTCGCTCAGTACCTGCAAACGACAAAATGTGGAGGAGGCTATGAATGTGAAACTGAAATTGAATTTAAATTTTACAAGTTTATTTGCTGTAAATTTAGGTGGAAAAATTCCTAAGATATTTGTGAACACTAAACGGTTGCATGACGTGTTATCGTTTTTTTTTTGGTGCTTCTTCTTTCTTATTCGGCTAACTATGAAATTGGGCACTTCCTTTTAAACTATTGTGCTTGAATGTTTATGTTTAAAGAATTTGAGTTTGCATGTTCGGGACTAATTTAACATTGGCAAGTATTCACTGGATAGCACATTTACTTAAGGTGCGGTATATCAATTTTCACAGTCACTAACTAAATGCTGTTTAAATTTACAACTGTTCTCCTCACTTCACGCCCCAAAAACGAAAAACACCCAGTAAAGGATGAATAAAAATTGCTTGCTTCCTCCTGGGCATGATTGCATGTCAAGAAAAAATAACTGTTTCTTTCAAAACAAAAAAATCTAAATTATATCTATAATATAAAATATGTACATATTTATGGATGTTTGTATGTATGTAAGAGTTGTATTAAGCAAAGTGCGTTCCGAATGCACAGTAGTTGCAACGTCTTCTTGAATTTTATTAAATAATCAATATTTTATCACTTATTTTTATATATTTACTCAAAGAGTGGCATAACTCAAAAACAAGTAAAAAAGTATCGGTCGGTTTTGCCGACAGATGTATACCTGTACAAAATACTTTGTACATACTTTTGAGTGCGGTTGAGGCGCTGGGAAAAACTAGCAATAAGCAATAAATATTCAAAAATTACATATTTCCCAGCCGCCATAAAATACCACATGTGAACAATTCGGTGATCTTGTGCGCTGACGCATACGATAATGTGTCAGATAATAAAGGTTATGACCCACACGCACAGATATCGATGCGCTCAGTAGATGCACAAGATCACTTGAATGAAATGTAAAGCAGCCCTGCAATGTTCTCCATTCAATATTAGAATAGATAAGAACAATTGTGTGGCTGCGACTAGGTTAAGTTAGATTAGTTTCAGTAGTACGTAAGGAATAAATATTTTAAATAAAAACAGAATTGAATCTACAACCAAGCGAAGCGGTTGTATTCTTTTCTCGCTATTACATTGATCCTCCGATCAGGATCCGAATAAAGAATAGAGTTGACAATCGAAGAGGGAGATTGGACTCTATTCTAATTTTCATTGGTCCTTCGAGCCGGATACAGAATTGAAACAACAACCTAACCGTTCGGTAGGTTTTCTCTTCTCATTCATTGGTCAATAGAGCCTTCACTTTTGTCAAAGTGAAACGAATTAGCGACCACAAAAAGAAAATAGTAGGAGTTTTCCCCCACCAGTGGTAAGAGACTCACTACAAGCAGAAGTAGCTGTTCTTCAAAAAAGAGGAGAATAGCTACCAATAAAAATCCGTTGAGGGATAAATAAAAAAAAAAACCATAAAGGCAAAAATAAAAAAAGACCCAACGGGCAAAAATTACAAAATACGCCATAGGAGCAAGAAAACAAAAAACAAAAAAAGACCCACGGGGCAAATTAAAAAAAAAATAACTAAAGGAGGACAATAAAGTCCCAAAAAGAAAAAAAAAAACATGCAATTTTGAAAAGAGGACATCAAAAGTCCCAATTAAAAAAGAAGTAAATTAAAAAAAATAATAATAAATAAATGAAAGAAAAGCAAAAACGAAGAAGCAAAATATACAAAAAAAAAAAAAAAAATATATATATATATAAAAGCAAAAATGGAAAAGGAGTTCCAAAATCAAAAGTTCCAAGAAGAGGAGCGAGAAAATACAACAGCGTCAGGAGACGCATTGAATATATCCGAGTTCGATATGGAAAAAATGGTACGAGAGTTTCGGGCGTTCCAGAATGCGATTATCCAGCAGCACCAGGAGCAAATAAAGTCGTTTATGGAAGAAATTGAGCAGATGTTCCTATCGCAGCAATACAGCAACAATCAAAAAGGGGACAAGGAACAAAAGGAAAGCCTAGTCGTCGAAGCTGGGAAAGATGACCTGTCCACACAACTAGCAAGTGCAAGCGAGGGACATAATTCTGTTCAACGAAAACAGATTCCAGTCTTGGAAAGTAATTCTGGGAATTTTTTCCCGCCGGCAAGTCCTCATTTTGAGGAACGGAAAAAAGAAGAAGAAAATTCTGCCCTGACCAATGAAGAAACCGAAAAACAAAATGATATTGGAGAAAAGGAAAAAGGAATAAAGGCGCTAAGCACAGAATGTCGCATCATTTCCAACGAATATGGGAAGGAATTAATCGATGAAACGGGAAAAGACATACAAAATTATCTGGTTCCGGTTCCTGAAGAGTATTCCAACGAATATGAAAAAGAATATAACGAAGAAATGGGTAATGCCGAGCAAAGTTCTCTGGTTCCGGTTCTTGAACGGTATTGCCTTAGAGAAACCAATAGCAAATCATCGATGGCCGTAAAAACAGAACACGACAAAGCAGAGCGTACCATGGAGCCAATGGTAATCCTTTCCGACGTGAATGATGGCGGTCTGCATCGATGGACTATGAATGCGGTATGGAAAATGAAGCCGACAGATAAAGGTGGTGGTATCGGCAAGAGAGGCTGGATTAAACGTTGGAGTCGTTTCCTGGAAGCGGTTACCTGATATTATTTCAACATATATAGATAGTTACGCATAAATTTTCTTTTCAAATCTTTCATATCTTTATATTTAAATATTCCATATTATTCATTTGTTAACTTTATAAAAAATACAGTCCACTATAAACATGCACATTTAAGCCGCCCGGGAGAATGTACAAAATACTTTGTACATACTTTTGAGTGCGGTTGAGGCACTGGGAAAAACTAGCAATAAGCAATAAATATTCAAAAATTACATATTTCCCAGCCGCCATAAAATACCACATGTGAACAATTCGGTGATCTTGTGCGCTGACGCATACGATAATGTGTCAGATAATAAAGGTTATGACCCACACGCACAGATATCGATGCGCTCAGTAGATGCACAAGATCACTTGAATGAAATGTAAAGCAGCCCTGCAATGTTCTCCATTCAATATTAGAATAGATAAGAACAATTGTGTGGCTGCGACTAGGTTAAGTTAGATTAGTTTCAGTAGTACGTAAGGAATAAATATTTTAAATAAAAACAGAATTGAATCAACAGCCAAACCGTTCGGTTGGTTTTCTCTTCTCATTCAATACCCTTAGTCAAAGTTCGATTATTTAAAAATACTTTGACTTCTGTTATGATTATTCAAATGTTTAACCCCTTATGCAGTAGGTTCCGAAGGAATGGGGTCCGAATGGGGAATTAGGTCCGATACGAAATGTCCAATATTGACATTTCGTATCGGACCTAAATATATATGATATAAATTTTGCGACGTGTTCGGTTTGGACTGTGTTGTGTTAATGGAAATTTTGGGATGTACCAAGTCTTGAATAGAATCGGATGTCAATTTCGCTTTTTATGGAAATTAAAAATTTTGAGCCTTTGTGGGGGAGGTACCAGAAGGAGTGGACCGATATATCCCATCTTCACAACGGATCTTTTGTCAGTGGAAATAATGGGATGTGTGAAATATATAGAGAAATCCTGATGCTTATTCCAGATTTTATAAACGTTTTGGATATTCAAACTTTGACTCTCTGTGGGGGAGGTACCAGAAGGAATGGTTCGATCTCTGCCGTTTTTTAACAAATCCTGTGTTGATAGAAATATTCAGATGTGCCAAATCTAAATGGAATCCGATGTTTATTTTTGGTTTTATGAGCTTAATGGATATTCAAAATTTCGACCTTTTGTGGCGGAGGTACCAGAAGCAGTGAACCGACATATTCCATCTTAACACCAGATCTTGGGTTTATAACAATATTGAGATGTGTGAAATTTGAAGACAATCGGACTACTACATCACATTTAACGAGAGTTGTAATTATTTAAAATTTTGACCCTTTGTGAGGGAGGTACCAGAAGGAGTGGACCGATATTGTCCATTTTCGCACCAGACTTCGCACTGACGCAAATATTAGGATTCGTAAAGTTTAAGCAAAATCGGATTATCGATTATCTTTCTGTGCAAAAAATTTATATTTTTGAAAATTTCGACCTTGTGTGGGTGAGGAACCAGAAGTAGTGAACCGATATATTCCATCTTAATACCAGACCTTGGGTTAATATAAATATTGGGATGCGCTAAATTTGAAGACAATCGGACTCTTACAGCACATTTCATAAGAGTTGTAATTATTCAAAATTTTAATCCTTTGTGGGGGAGGAACCAGATGTAGTGGACCGATATTGCCCATCTCCGAACTCGATCTAAGTTTGACAATAATATTACTATTTACCAACTTTGGATTAAATCGCATACTCCCTTCGAGAGTTATCGTGCGCACCAGCCAGACAGAGAGACAGACGGACGGACGGACATTGCTAGATCGACTTCAAATGTCCTGAAACGGATTTGGTCCAAAGAGACCTGAGGCACGTTTGGGCCGAATCAAATGATATATACCCTCTGTAGGCATATGGATGAGGGTATAAACAGCATATATGCTAAATTGTAGTCCTTGTTGTTCTTCATATACGAGTAAGAATTCAGGAGCCATATTTCGCGAATACACCATTACAAGGAAATGTGAATAAACTATATTTGGTATTACCAGTAGTTTGGTAGTAATGCCTTAAAAAAGTATTCGAAAACAAGAGATATTATCTTCTTTACACATAAATGTGTAACTGCCTCACAGCAAATGCGAAACGTGAATATAAAAATTCGTCGAATAATGTAGCTAAAATCATCAAAATACCGAATATCCTCCCTATATTACCGTTATATTGCGGTTACGAAGACGTAGACCTGCACAGACAATTTTCTGTAGTATCCAATACGAACTTCAAATACCAAATTTTAAACAATTCCGGTAACAAATGTCGCTAAAATCAATAGTATAGAATATAGAGAGGT